CAACATTGTGTTAACACTGCCTTTACTTTGTTGCAACATTGTTGGCATGCACACTGTTGTGTGCTGTAATTAAAATGAATATGTATTATTTGCAATATGGTGCATGAATGCATCAATTGTGTATAGTCCATAGTTATGACTACCAGATCCGCGCTGTGATGCTAGAGTTTCTGGCCAGAATTTCTGCTCAGGCCAATCACTGTTGTATGTTTGGCGCAGTTGTTATGGCTGTGGGCACTGAGTTGTGGGGTCTGGTTCAAATCCCCAGTAGGTTGCTTGTTTATTCATGTCTTTCCTTTGAGTGTGCATGTGTGTGTGTGTGTTTGTTAACATGCTGCTATGCACCCTGCATTCACAATGCTAGTACAGTGTACTGGCATTGTAAATGCAGGGCTGCATAGCAGCCAAAAAAATTTTCTTGGAATAGTTTCACTGACACCGTAGGGAACAGCATAAAAAAATGGGAATCTTGGCGGGAATATGGGGGAGGGGGCACCCAAACCGCCAGGATAACCGTCAGGGGAAGCGGCAATCCTATCCCCGTCTCTCCAGGTGGGTATAATGCCCACTTTTTATGGTCTCAGTGGCAGCCTGGGCATAAATGCAAGCAGATAACGGCCAAATTATTTGCTGGGGTGAACCTCTGACTTGACAATTTTTTCTTTTGAACACTTTTGACAGAATTTTGGACCTCTGCCCTGGGTGGGATCCCTGACTCAAATGACCAGTTTTGCACTTTTGCCTTAGGCTCTCTTGGTGGGCCTGCATGCCACCATCTTTGAGGCCAATACCCAGTAAAGGATGCCCCGCATCCCCTGGTGCCACCAAACCCTCACCTCCCACCCCCCAAAACCTAGCAACATCTACGCATCCCCAGGTTGGGGTCCTTTGGCCATTGCCAGCCTACAGGCTGCCGTTGCCAAAAGGGGGGGATTTTGTGGGGTTGCATACACAAGGCGTGACCCAAGCATAGCATCCTAGCTTGGGCACACCAACGTCCAACGTAGCAGCCCTTGGACCCAGAAGCACATTGGCACCTGGTTTACCACAATGTGGCAAACAGGGTGATTAAGGATAAGATCAGGAAGGTGACAGAAGCCCATCAAAGTCACCAAAGACTACACTTCTTCAACAGCATTGCCTGACGGCAGTTGTTGGATTATTCCTGCGAATGAATCTGTCTTGTCTGATTGACGTTTGAGAGTGTGTGTGAAAGACTGGTAGATTTCCTTCTGCAGTTGCCTGTGGGTCTGCTATTAAAGAGGGCTACATTTAAGGGACTCCCATTTGGAGGCTCTGGCCATTAATGGCTGAGTGACTTTGTACATCCATTTTCCTGAATTCTTTGTTGATTCTGTCCCGACAGCAGAGCAGCAGTTATTTGTTTGAAGATACACTTTAATTTGACAAGGAGGCAACTCTGAAATGCTGCTTTTTATATTCGGCCAATGCAAATAATAACAAAAAAAAGCAGCTGATTCCATATTAGAAAAATTTCAATAATTAGATTGTGATTCCCGTTTTCATCATGGAGAATCCTCTTTCATTGTGCTGTTGTCAGAACTAGTTAATTTAGATGTTTCACAATCTTGAATTCAAATGTCTCCAAATCTTCAATTGTGTAAACTTACCATCGCAAGTTTATCTTAACTAACTCCAACAATTTATTGTGAGGAGATTTTCTTCATTCCTGTTGCCGGGATTGGTAAATTCACAACTCCTCAAAGTACAAAATAGTAAGGCAGCTTTATTTCGTGTTGAACAGCAGAAACGCATTCAGACAGTGTCCAGAGAACAATGAGTGAGCAAGACAGTAAATACAGGTGACTATATAGACTTGGATGGACAGTATGTCACAATGGTGGTCAGACCAGGATCTGACCTAGTTTGGCAAGGGTTGCATAACCCTTGGGGCGTGACTCGGCGGTGTGTCATGCAGCAAGGGCGTGGGACAGTATATTGCGACGCAGCTGTTTGAAGCATTGTCTGCTAGGTTAAAGAGAACAACCAAAAGTATTCATGACAGTGCAGATGAGACAAGCTTTCCCATGAGAAATAATTTCAGTTTTCCTGGAGATAATCCCCAAAGTTAGTATTTAATTGAAGTCCAAAAATCTTCAGTCACATGATTTGAGCCATATTGCTGCTGAAGACTCCACAAGCAAATTCTGCTGAAGGTATGCAAGAAGAATTCCAAATTGTCAATTTTTCCTTAAAAAAAAAGGTTTGTGCTGAGAATAAGAATTTCAAGTTTTCATATCTTCAGCTATCTGTCTGGGGTTGTAATTTTGAATTTAAAAGTTGTTTGGACTGCAAATTTTGCTCACACATGAAACCTCTCTTTGCCACTCTATGTTTAATCTTTGAGAACAATGCCTCTGCCTTGACTTCAGTGTGTCTTGTTCAAAGGCATTTCATGGGCTTCCCCAGAAGGGATACTTTTTCAAACTCATGCACCAATAGATATTGATGTGCAAAGAACTTCGGAAGAAAATTTGGCAGCATTAAAATTGGCGAAGAACACTATTTTTATGTTCGGAAAACACCTGACAGCTGGGCTTGATAAACTTTCACAACTTGATATTCCCATCAAACACAAGAACCCAATTAGAATTCATACTGGCCATGAGGAAAAATTAAAAGTGCCTTCCAACAACTTGTTTCTCCCTGATGAAAAAATCCTCTCAGGGATAAAAATTACCTGCTCAAACCATGATGCATTAAATTGGCTTGGAAGTGCCAGGTTAAACTTCTTGGAATTCCGAAAGAATTCTCCATAGTTGTAAATGGTGGAACCCTCCCCTCCAGAAATACGGGAAATAAAAAAGCAATAAAAAGGTCCAGAAAATCAAAACAGTCAGTTAAACACTTAAGTGTAAGAAAAGTTGAAGTCGAAGACGACTCTGGGGGCAGGAAGCCTTGGAAGAAGGTTCCGATTTTCTGGTGCTCTGATTTCAACCGTTTTCTGTGTTTGTCCTTGGGTGATTTTTCCACCCGATTTACTCTAGCCTCAATTAATGAGGCCCTCATCACACTGGTGACGGCGGGTCCCCAACAAGAACAATGCCTCTGCCTTGACTTCAGTGTGTCTTGTTCAAAGGCATTTCATGGGCTTCCCCAGAAGGGATACTTTTTCAAACTCATGCACCAATAGATATTGATGTGCAAAGAACTTTGGAAGAAAATTTGGCAGCATTAAAATTGGCAAAGAACACTATTTTTATGTTCGGAAAACACCTGACAGCTGGGCTTGATAAACTTTTACAACTTGATATTCCCATCAGACACAAGAACCCAATTAGAATTCATACTGGCCATGAGGAAAAATTAAAAGTGCCTTCCAACAACTTGTTTCTCCCTGATGAAAAAATCCTCTCAGGGATAAGAATTAACTGCTCAAACCATGATGCATTAAATTGGCTTGTAAGTGCCAGGTTCAATTTCTTGGAATTCCGAAAGAATTCTCCATAGTTGTAAATGGTGGAACCCTCCCCTCCAGAAATACGGGAAATAAAAAAGCAATAAAAAGGTCCAGAAAATCAAAACAGTCAGTTAAACACTTAAGTGTGCTAAAGCAAGACGTCTGTGTCAAGCACTTCTGGAAGATTACATATGATGAAATCAGATTCAAAGTATGAAAATTTTCTACTCCATATTTTGCTCAGATGATAAATACTTTGGTGAGAGAAAACACGTTTGTGATTATTCTTGGAATGTAGCGCACCTGCTAATTCCTGAATTCCAATTTACGAGTATACCCCTCCAATTCCTCTCTTCTATGAGAAATCAACCATGTAAATATATTAGGTCCTTAAAAATATTGTAAAAAACTCTGAGTAAGTACATTCCCCATCTCTGCTGAGATAAACTTCGTGGAAATCCCAATGAGATTTTGATTACCCGATATAAATTTGCATAGATTCAGCAAGGGATGCTTTTTCAGGCACCTCAAGGGATTAAAAGCTTGGTGGAGCACAACAGATCCTGTTCTTCAGTCCTGGACTGGTTATGATGGAGCCCCAGGAATCCAGAATTTGACAGCTGGCTTAGTAAAACGCATGGATCTCAGTAAGCCGGGATAGATTGGACAAACATTCAACTGGGTCTTGAGTTTAGAAGTTGGCAAGCATATTCCTCAGTCGAATTACATCTCCAACCTCGTTAGACACAAAGAAGAAGGAATAGTTGTGTTATGGGCCGCCGAGGGCTAAGGAGGATGTTCACACGTGATGACGTGAACAATTGGAATAACAACATCATCATCGCAATCCTGGAAGGACACTGGTTTTACCAGCAGCCTGGAATTTGGAAAAGTCTTCGCGGCAACAGCTCCCTTGTTTGGTTCAAAAACTCTGTCATGGTATGCACCAGAGATGAAAATTACCCAATGACGGTTGATGCCTAATTTCGAATTATTTAGTAGTTACATCAGGAGATGTATAAATTGTTCGAAAATGCAATAGATTTTTTTCCTCCTTTGTGGAGAGCGCATTCCTTGGAGTTTATTTTTTTTCAATTGTAACTATAATAATAATTAAAACCCTGTAAAGAACAATGTTGCAAATCACATCATTGCACTGTGTATATTCTCTGGCAGAAAATTAATTGCCCCATGACTTTCCGCCCTCATCCTTTTGTTCTCAACTGCACTTGTTTTCAACTGCTAGTCTCACCTGAATTCCAGAATGTCTTATATTCTCAGTTGACTGAAGTTAGAACTTTCAGAGTATTTCAGCATGCCCGGGCTATGGAGGCATGTCTGTGACCCAAATTGATCCATGACCTGTTTACACTGTGTATTTTTTCCTTTGTGTTTTTCAGTATATAAGTGCCTGACTTGCTCTGTTCTGGCAGCGTACTGTACAGTACTTGTGTTGTTTTCACTGGTGACTCACTAGAGAAATGTGACAGTTCCAAACACTTTTATTTGTGCACGCAATGTTAATTTGGTTTCATTTATCATCCAAATTATGCTCGGTTTTCGCCAGGTGGAAATTCATCAGGCTCTTTCGCCTGTTCTTTCGAAACCTGTTCGAATAAAATAAAGTACATACCTCATAACGAAGTGCACGTGCAAATCATTTTCTTTAGTGCGCGGATAAAAAGAAAAATGCAACTGAACCTGGTTCTTTCAAAATGGTCTCAAACTGTTTCGAAAAAAGTCAGAATCATTCAAGAAGCTTCGCTGTTGCAAGTTTAGCGTCTTTTCTCGTAGACCACCAATTCACGTCATAAGAATGTAACGGATGTAAAGATAAGCATTTCAGTGCATCGACACAAATCTTGCAATGATGTGTTATCAGCTGGATGAGACTCTCAATGATTATGATATTTTCGGACTTAAAGATTATAATTTAATTTCCCACTCTCCATTGACCAATTTCAAAGGAGACCTCAAAGGATAAATGCATGATCCTCTTCTTGGTTTTATTTGCACACTCAATCCTCCGAAATTTACGTGTGATTCATGCAGACTTAGGGTAATGATAATAACACGCCGTCGTGTCAACCGAAACATAGCCAACTATAATAAAGTATGATATTATTTTGTTATAGTTCTTCAGCAAGATCAATGGCTCTCAGTTTTTCATGGTGGTTTCCATAGAAGCCTTTTCTCATCAGTCTAATATGGCTCCATTCTATTGTGCGGGAATAAGTAATTTACACGCGATTTCCGGATCAAAAATAATGAAGTTTCGTTCGTCTCAGTGGCGATGGTTTTATTTAACCTTTACACTACTGGGCTGAGTCGGGTTTTTTTTTTTCATTGCGTGGGATGAAGCTTCTGTAAAAGGTCAGGAAAACCCAGCGTCAGGTGAAGCGGGGCAAAGTTTGTCCAATAAGTTCCCAGAATCGAAATTCTAAATTTGTTTTTACACTTTCCACCAAACCCAACACTCGGAAAACTAACTTCTGTCGAATATAAATCCCAATCGTTCTGGTACCTCATTCAACTAAACCCGTCAGTCGCACAATTAATTTAGATTGTCAGTGAGTTATAATTCTGATAAATTGAGCCTATTCACAGTTTTATGGGTGATGGAGGTTGAGCAGATGAAAGATCCAAAAAAGCGTTTCCGTGAAAAATAAAAACCTTGATCTGAGATATGCAGCGATTTTCTCGAGTATTCCGAAGTCGAACATGAGAAAAAAATGGAGCACTCATGGAAAAAACTTTTTTGTTTTGTTTTATCTTTATTACCCGATTTGTTGTTCCCCTGGAATCGTGAAAAATTTTCTTCTTTCACACTATCTCATTTTCCATGGACACAGTGAGACAGCTTCCCAAAATTTTCGCGTGTATCATCGAGGATGCATTAGTGCATGAATCAGCACATTTTCGAAACTGAATTTATGAAACCCACTTCGACATTCTCTACGCTTCCACTCAATTTTCCTACTTCGAAAGGTATAATTTAGATTGTAGCCCGATTTTAGTCGCACAAGACTCATGAAAACCCCTGAACTCGATTCCAGGGTTTAGGTCATTTTAACTGGGCCACATGCAAAAAAAGAAGAGTTATTTGATTGGAAGATGTGGAGCGAAGTTCAGTAATTTAAAATCATTCGTCAAAATTCCTTTCATATTTTCTTTCAGATGCGCCGAGTACGGAAATCCATAATTTTGTCGATCATCTTACTGGTAGTTGTAATAACACTCTGGTTCAGGCTGGAATCTCACAAAGTTCGACTGCCCCCTCTTTCAGTGCAACCACTGAATCAAGAACCGATGGAGGAATTTTCAATTTTTCATCTGAAAGGTCAAGCCATTAATGCATCATCTGCTGAAGAACCGAAAGCAGGTATTATAAAAGAAAATCTGTGATGCTAAAATTAAAACTAAATTTTCAATCTTCTCTGTAAGGAATTTTTTAATGCAGAGAAGAACATAAATCGAAAGCGCTGAAATCATTTGGAATTGCTTTACTTGGAAAGCTATTGGTGTGGAGCTGAAAATCCAATGGATATATAACTCTGTCTGGACATCACAACAAAGATACCAAAAATTAATTAAAATTCAATTGGTATGGTGCATATATTTTAACTTATAAAAATTGAGAGGCTCACGTTTTTCAACCAGAAAACCTGCTAACCTACCTTGCCATTCAGGTAAATTCCAATGTACGTTTTGCAGACAATTTTTGATGTTGTACTTTTGGAATCATAGCCATAAAATGAGACACAATCGGGAGACTGAATTGAACCTCTGTATATTTTCTTCCTTCAAATGGGTTGGGCAAATCTTTTCAATTGATGAAACAAGATATATTTCCTCGTGAATGCTGTATTGAAATTTCAATAATCCCACTACTGAAAAAATCCTTGACAGAATATATTGCTTGAGCATTTAAAAATCAAGCCATCTTCATACATGAAGCATTCATATGCAGGACTATTCAGTTGACCCAACGTTTCAAAACCAAATCAGTTTCAAAATATGCGTAATGGCTAAAAGGTTTTTTAACCAAATTGTGCTTTATAAACCAAGATATTACTGCTTGAGAACAAAAGTTTGTCCTCCATGAAATTTTTGCACAGGAGTTTGTTCACCCACAGTATACTGGGGCGAATTGCTGTTCAAGTGAGGTTTTCAAAAGTTGATCTGATGATTTATGCAATCTGAAAAAATATGACGATGGAAAAAATTATCGACCTTGAATTAATGTTTTGATTTTTTAATTATGTATGCAGTAGAGAGCTTTTTTTATATATATTAATCTGATGGACCCTTCACCTAAAATATTCGCACAAAGAAATTAGCATCTGTAAAAACACTTGAATGATGATTACCACATTTTCATGCATTTCTTATGACCTCTTGAAAAATCAAAGTGGTGAAAAAGGTTGAAAAAGTATGAACATCTTGATGGGCAATTCCAAGTGCACTGTGAAGATTTTGTATGGAGGCGTGCAATTAGGGATTTCAACGCAAAACCAGATTTAAAATAAATTTCCCTTTTTTTGTGGTGAACAGAAATCTTAGCTGTTTTACCCTTGCACTAACAGACAATACCATCTCCTTTTTTTCTGACTGATGTCCTGAAATATTTCTGTAGCGCATGCATAGCAGTTCACTTCATTGTGTATGTTCCATGATTTTGAATTACAATTCTAAAAATGTTGTAGGAAAAGAAGAGCTGAAAGTTGGCAGCTGGATTCTGAATTCAAAAAACTTGCGAAAAAGTCACTTCATGGATCCCTATCTATGCAAGGCTTTGGAGGAAATACTGTTCAAGAAAAAATCAGTTTTGGACCTTGGATGTGGGATTGGTCTCTATGGAATTTGCTTCCTACGACTCAGGAATCACACATTTCCAAATTCAGGAAGGGATTTTTTTACTAGGTTAGTCATTAGTGTAACTTTGGAGGCATCGCTGGATGATGCACAATTTTCTTTGGATTGTTCCTTCTTCATATGAGCAGAAGGGGGACTCCAGGTGGATTTTCTCTACAATGATCTTGTCTGCAAGAATTGTCACTACATATAAATTTTGTTCAATGCAATTAGTGTCTTCCCTCATTTGTAGGGATAGAATTCTTTCCACCTTCTATCGCTATGTTTTATGCAATTTATGGGTTCCCTCAATCTCTCAAAAAGAAGACAATTTCTCCTGGCCGTTACATTTTATTTGTAGAGGAAGTTCACCTTTATTTGCCTTCTGTTTAAATATTAGTCTGACCGAATGTCACTTAAATGCCCCACGGATTGGAAAGGCAAGTCACAACAATTCTGGGTATGATTTTCAACCGTTCCGATGGCAGAGATTTGCTCAAAAGAACTTCGTGCTGCAGAGCCTGGAATTTTCTATGAAGATTCACCTTCATAAGAACATGCAGAGGGCAGCTCTGAAATGATATTTTTCCATGTGCGGTCAAAGCAAATTCTCTCCACTTCCGCAGCGGAGGCAAGCTTTTCAATGCAAACTGCTGAAGTCTAAAAATCTTATGTCATGTGATTTGAACCATACTGCTCTTGAAGAAATCTCAAGCAAATCCCGCTAAAGGGATGCAAAAATCCAGAATATTTAATTTTCCTTGCATTTCAAAAATATTTGCGCTTGAAAGAAAATTAGAGTTTGTAAATAAAAATTATTCGGGCTACAAATAAAACTGCCTAGCTTTGCCGAATTCTTGTGATCCAATGGAGATTTGGAGTAGCCGATCCAGAATGCTCGTCAATTCATTAGGAATTGTTTTTTGCAGGCACCTTAAGGGCTTGAAAGATTGGTGGAAGTCAACAGATCCTATTCTGCAATCCTGGACTGGTTATGATGGAACCCCAGGAATCCACGATTTGACAGCTGGCTTAGTAAAACACATGGATCTCAGTAAGCCGGGATACATTGGACAAACATTCAACTGGGTCTTGAGTTTAGAAGTTGGCGAGCATATTCCTAGAAAGTATCAGGCGAATTACATCTCCAACCTGGTTAGACACGCAGAAGAAGGAATAGTTCTGTCATGGGCCATCGAGGGCCAAAAAGGACGTTCACACGTGAACAATCGCAACAACGACGTCATCATCGCAATTCTGGAAGGACACGGGTTTTACCCGCAGCCTGAAATTTGGAAAAGTCTTCGTGGCAACAGCTCCCTTTCTTGGTTTAAAAACACTGTTATGGTATTCACCAGAGATCAAAATTACCGCATGACGGTCAATATTTAATTTCGACGTATTCTGCAACCACCTGTAAAGGCGATAGAAAATTTTCGGCCAAGATATTCAGCTCCGCTACTGAAGAGATTTACTCCTTGGAATTATTTTACCGTGTTTTTTCAAAACCTGCACACTGATGACCACACGTTAATATTTTCACAAATTTTAAATTAAAAATGCTCACAAATATACGAACATATTTACGAAATAAATTACGCTAAATTCTAGTTGCCTACGTGATAAGTATGTTGCTTACAGGTAAGATGTGAAATGCGTGTTTGCTGCTGATGATAAACTCGTCAGCAGGTGCTCTTTCTAATGAAGAAAAATGAACTACCATGTCAGTTGTGTTTATTGATGAATAAAAAAAAACGTTGACCTTATTTCTGTGGTGCCTTATACACGATGATTTCGGAATGTGGAAATGTTGCTCATGCACGTTGAATGTGAAACACGCGACGATGAGGTTGAAACACAAATTTACGGCGAATCATTAAGTCGACAATTGGTTCCCATAAATTCTGATCTCCATCAATGTCTGCACATTCGCAATTTCATCGATTTTCGGGTGGCGAAGACAATTTGATTGCTTTCAGCAATGGCACACGTTAGTAACTTGTATTTGATCCAATTTTTAAAGAGAAGAATACATGTTCTTCTCTATACATCATAAAATCGTATGAGGCATACGATTTTATGATGTATAATACTGTTATTGGAAAGGAGTGACGTTTTATTTCGTGTATAATTGAGCACACAAAACTGAAAGCACAAACATAGAAAAATGTGAGGCTTCAAACGAAAGGATTTCTGAATATATCATGGAACAGACATGGAATAACAGAGAGAAGGACGCACATATTCTAGTACATTATTGCGCAACTTGTGGAAGTTTTTGCTGGTCTACAGGAAAATATCTGAATTCATAGAAGGTAAAAATAAAGCATGATATATTTGATGATCCAAAATTCCAGATGAAACGGCAGTTGTAATTGTCTGAGAAAAATATGTTAGCTTTTCTTTGTATTACATTTTACCCTTTAGTCTTCATGCACGTCTTGTATGAAATAAAAGTAAACATTACTTTTAGTTTCAAATCTGACAAGCCTTTCTTGAAAATCAGATTTCTATTTTTTCAAGACATTCCGGCTGCTAATCAGTTCTTTACCTAATGTGGCAGCTGTGAAGGCGGCTGTTGATGAAAATGGTGGAATTACCTTGGAAGACCTGGAGGCAACCCTAAGAATGAATGCCACATTGATTTCCAGAATTCTGAGGGGAAAGCTGGGCTAAAAAAAATCTGCAGGAAGGGTGTCTCATCTTTTGAGTGGAGAGCAAAACTCTGCAGGGGTGAATTTTACAAAACATTCAAATAAATTTGTGGAACAGGGCTGATTTTTTTTTGTGTGCCAAGGAATATGTTTTCCTTCAAGAATACATATTTTTAAAGTGCAATCCAATTTAGTTTATATTTCAAGAACTTTTGTTAGAACCCTTGTACTGTAATGTACGGCAGTGGCGGGTCATTAACAGGGTTATCCCACCCATGTATTTGGATGTACGAGACGTGGATGAGGCAACCGGTTATTCCTGCTCGGCCTTCCTGTAGGAAGTGTATGCGCTTATATGTAACCGAGATACTCCAACTTTTTATCCCTTTCAAATGTCATTTTGTTGTACTTGTACGCGATGCACTTGACGATGACGTGCAGTACGTGTCTTCAAACTGAAGCCCATGATATAGTGTGTGAGGTCCTTTCAAGTACGAGTGTTGTACCACCGCATGCCGCGAGTCCTACTAAATTCTGACGTCGGATTAAAATTACACTCCAAGACACCAAACTGCAGTAATATTGTAATGCAGGACACTTTTCCTTGCCGGCGAAGTGCTCTGAGAAAAATATCGGAAATTAATATCTTTTCATTACCGCCCCCAACAAGTTCTGCTTTTTTTTTATTCATTCCAAGAAAATTAATCCTTGAAAAATTTCGAAATTTTCACCAAATTTGAGAGAAACTATTCTACACAAAAACTTAATTCCCATCATGAAACTCTCATGACAAATTTTCCGGCCACTCATCTGAAATAAGTGTCAAACTCGTGGCCAAATAACCAGAAAGTTTTCTCTTTTTTCAGGATTTCTAAAATTTACTAGGAAGGGGTGAGAAAAAAAAAAGAAAAAAAACAGAGGGTGCAGCTCCATCCACTCCTATATCCGGTTGCACGGTGGCAGGCCTGCTGGGTGCCAGCCTCATGGCTCCTGTGACCTCCTGCATGCAAATGTCTTTATTAGTACTCCATTGCTCACTTTTTTTCTTCCCTTCTTACCCTCAGAACCTCCCAGATGTTGGGAATGTGAGCACACTTTTGAAGGTCTGCCAGATGTTTCCTCATTAAATTTCTTGTCCTGCATTAATGTATCCCTTATATCAGCTTTTCAGAACAGCAGCGTAGTGGAAGGAGTTTCCTGGCAACATTTGCTATGAAGCTTTTCATTAAAATGTTTCTTGTGACCATGCCATGGCATTTGGTACAAAAAACTGCATACAATTTGTAAGGGAATTGAACAAGCTTTTTTTCATTGCCACAGCTTAATTTTGCACTGAGCTGTTCTGAACCAAAAATTAGTTCACTTTTTATTGGTCCACCCTCTGGGAAAAAACTTTGGTAAGCTGATAATTTGGCGCCAGACTAGCAATTCTTCCTCTCTAATCCATCGAAATTTTAATAGCTTCTTCTAGAGCAGCATGAGAACAAAACCCAACTTTGGTTCCCAGGACCAGCAAGGACATTTCTGGATAAACTATTATCCTTCATACTTCCTTTCATTCAACTCTTGCTTTCCTGATTCCTGAATTCTACTGATAAAACACACTTGCATTCAAGTAGCAAACGAGAGTGGATCGCTGTGCAGAGAAGCTTTGCATATTTTGCAAAATCTTGAACAGTGAAATCAAACTCTCATTCCCAAAATGAAGCATATTAAAATAGGAAAAAGTTGTCCTGGCCGCAGCCTGAAAGTGTTTTTCTTTCATCTCCATTTGAAAATTTCCATAAGCACTGAATTTCTACTTCACAGACTTTGTCAAAGCTGAAAGCATTTTTCCAAGACTTTATTTGATTCTGAGTAATTAATTCATAGCACTTTTCTTTCCCTCTTTGTGAGGTTTCTTTAGCACACAATCTTTCTCTCACACACCCTGTATATGAGTGCAGTGTTTCTTATCTATGATAAACCTGCCCAAAGATAAGAATAGATAAGAATTATAGACAAGAGATATCAATACTGAAGCTGCAAACAAAGACAAGAAATAAATATCAGATATCCATCCGTGAACCACAATAACTGTATAGTTGCTAAACTTGAAAAGTGCCGTGCTGCTGTATCCGGATACTGTTCCTGAAATAGTGAATTACTATGTGAAATGAATTTTTTAAAATATGGGCTTCCTGGTTGAAGAATTGACCTGGAGAAAACTCGGTATTTTTTCAAAACGTATTCGGCCTTACTATAACTTACAAAACGGAGAACCTTGTGAACAATGGCATTGAAATACTTTGATGTCCAAAAGTCTTCGGTCAAAGTTGCATTCACTGTTTTCATAATCATATATGGATTTTGGATGTATCAGCACCACCAAGGGTCCGAGCCCCAGTATTCATTTTCGTTGGAGCAACAGTATGCGTGGTTCCAGCAGCAACGAGACACTGCTCCAGCTGTTCAATATCTTGAAGAAGCAGTAGGAGTGAATTTTTCTCTTCCGCATGCTCCAAAAGCAGGTAAGAATAAGCAGTTGTAAGTTCTGAATCTTCATCTTTAATGATTTGCAAATCAGAAAGTTGAGCTTCCTTGATATGTACAAGGGTCAGATACATTGGACCCTCAGTTAAATTTTGGATGTATCAGCACCACCAAGGGTCCGAGCCCCAGTATTCATTTTCGTTGGAGCAACAGTATGCGTGGTTCCAGCAGCAACGAGACACTGCTCCAGCTGTTCAATATCTTGAAGAAGCAGTAGCAGTGAATTTTTCTCTTCCGCATGCTCCAAAAGCAGGTAAGAATAAGCAGTCGTACGTTCTGAATCTTCATCTTTAATTATTTGCAAATCAGGAAGTTGAGCTTCCTTGATGGGCACAATGGTCAGATACATTGGACCCTCAGTTAATAAACTCGTTTGCTAATAAACTTTGTCCTCAAAGAAAAATCCCTTGGTTGACAGAACGAAAATTGTTGAACAAACTTTTGTTCACTGGCAAACACCACATTTACTCAAGTACTGTACCATGTGTGGGGACATATATTGTACTCACCAAATTACATGCTGCTAAAAGACGGGGTGATTACCTGTAGTTGCTAGAGATATTTTGCTCTGAAATAAATTTGCGAGGACAATCAGCTGGGCTGGGGACAAGAGCTGGTAGTAATATCATTTTTTCCTATTTTCTAAGATTGAGATGAGACAATGATTTGCCATTCAATTCGATGCACAAAATCACAAGCAAGACAATAGGTTTCCCAGCCTTCTCAGGAATATGTTTTATTTCTGAGGAGTTTTTACTGGCGCCATTCTGTCACTTTTTCCAACACCATGCACACGTTTTTTCTGCAAAATCAAGGCTGAAAAGCAGCTGTAGGTGTGATGTACAGTAATAATGTCTTCGAGCAAAACTATATGAAATTACTGTAATGTTGCAAGTCATGAATGATGCACACTGGTACGTGCAATAATGAACAGGTAGTTCTATTTGACTAGAATCCAGTTGAAATGACTGGTCCATCATTATTGATTCAAGTATTTCAGCGATTTTCAACGGAAGTTCTTGTTTTGAAGGGAAAACGGAACTAGAAACAGGCGGATGGATCTTGAAACCTGAAAAACTCCGAGGAGCTCATCGTCTAGATCCATATCTTTGCAAAGCCTTGGAGGAAACCCTGTTTCGAGGGAAGTCGGTTCTGGATCTGGGTTGCGGAATAGGCCTGTATGGGATTTGTTTCCTGAGACTCAAAAATCACCCATTTTCGGATCCTGGAACAGATATTTTTACCAGGTATGGTAAATCTAACCAAATCGCGAAAATAAAAACTATACGATTTTGAGAAACTTTAAAAATAACTTTCCTAAAATTATATTCCGAGGTTTATTCTTTGAAATGGCATCTGCGGAACGAGGTTGAATTTACACGAGTTATACTGCTTAGTTTTGAAAAACCCAAACTTGTTACAGTACTATTAATATAATCCCAGTCCGCTTTTGCTTCTATGAGGCCAACTTTTTTCCATCCTTCTTTTTCGGGTTCCCCTCAATTTGGCAGCAATAGCAAGAATTAAATGTCGAAACCATAGATGAAATTAAATTGCCTCTATATATGAGGTTATTGGCATGATAAAATGAACCAGAGAAATAATAAAATCCTTGCGTTGTTGGCTGAATTCCTTTTGCTCTTGATGCATCCCCAGGATGAAATGAACCAACACAGGTAAATTTTTTTTTGGCTATACAAGTGGTACCTTGCAATCCAACTCTAATCCTTTGCTGAACCAGGGTCAAATTGCAAATTGATCAAATTGGGAGACACTACATCAAATGCTAAAATATAAATAAAAATGCTAAAAAATGGAAAAAGCAGGTCAAATTGTGGGGCTAGGGTCAAATTGCAAGTCAACCTCCCTGCAAAATCCACTGTAAAATTGTGGGGTTGAATTTTGTGGGACCACATGTACAAGGGTTCTAACAAAAGTTCTTGGAGTAGCAATGAAAATGGCATACAATTGAGCTGAAAAAATTTATTCTTTAGTGAAAACATATTCTTTTGCACTCAAAAAAATCAGCATTTTGCAAAATTCATCCTCATAGAGTTTTGCTCCCCACTCAAAAAATGAGGCGCCCTTTTTTTTGTAGCCCAGCTTTCCCCTCAGAATTTTAGAAATCAACTCCACATTCTTTCTAAGGGCTGCCTCCGGGTCATCCGAAGCAATTCCGCCATTTTCATCAACAGCCGCCTTCACAGCTACCACATTGGCCACCACTTTGGCAGCTGTGAAGGCGGCTGTCAATGACCTGGAGGCAACCTCTGGCATGAATACCATGTTGATTTCAAGAATTCTGAGGCGAGAGCAGGGCTACAACAAAAAAAGGGTACCTCATCTTTCAAGTGGAGAGCAAAACTCGATGAGGATGAATTTTGCGAAAAATTAAAAAAAAATTGTCAATCATGGCTAATTTTTTTTAGTGCCAAAGAATATGTTTTTGCTAAAGAATACATTTTTTTTAACTCAATTGTATGCCATTTTCATTGCTACTCCGAGAACTTTTGTTAGAACCCTCGTATATGATGTTTAAATTTTGTAGCTTGCCATTTTTGTGGAAAACTTACAGAATGCATAATCTTGATTATTTCCAGCACCCTGAAAGGGCTACGCGAATGGTGGACTTCGACAAAGCCCATGATTGGGTCCTGGACTGGCTACGATGGAAATCCTCACGTTGAGGATTTGACGTTTGGGTTGGTGCGCCGGTTTGACCTCAGCAAGCCAGGTTCCATCGGCAAAACCTTTGACTGGGTCATGAGCCTGGAAGTCGGAGAACACATCCCTCGGGAATATCAGGACATTTACATAGACAACCTGATTCGACACGCCAAAGAAGGCATTGTGTTGTCGTGGGCAGTGGAGGGTCAAGGGGGTCGCTCGCATGTCAACGAACGCAACAACGACGTCATCATCGAGATTCTTCAGGGCCGCGGGTTTTTCCCGCAGCCAGAAATTTGGAAAGCTCTTCGAGCGAGCAGCTCTTTTCATTGGTTGAAAAACACAATCATGGTGTTCACAAGAGGCGAACATTTCCAAGTACAGTAAATGAGTTGATTTGCTGGAAAAAACTTTTTGTTTTTTTTCCAAAACATCTTTGATGTCCTTTGAACGCTCGATCGTGCTTGTATTTAAATAGATGAACGTTTCGGCACAACAAATATAATACACTTGCTCATTTTGTTGTTTGAACTTTGCGGTGAAGAAAAACACGAGTGACGAGAAATCTCAATTGTTATCAGATTTTCCTTGTGATTCTAGAGCCCACAAGACAAGATGCATTTTTTCTTGGGGACTCACCCCGCACCTCATTAATTAAGGCATAAATACATAGGGTGGAAAACCCACTTAACCTTGATAGTCTGGTGAAACTGATTAAAATTCACTCCCAAATTTTATTTTGAGAGTGTGCCACAATAGCCTTGAACCTGCTTCTCTTGGCCAACCTCAGGCCTTTAAAATGCATCTTGTCCTTGAGCAACATTTTGGAAATCAAGGACAAGCCAAAGCAATATTGAAAGCCATTATTTCAAATTCCCATTCATCATTGGCCTGTCTTGAGCTGTTGTTGAAAGTCATAGTGTCCTAAAAGTCAGATTTCAAGGGACCAGTAAAAAAAAATTGGACTCAGAGAGGTTTTGGCCAAGGGAGGTCTCTGAGTTAAAAAAAAAAAAAAAGTACAGTATGCCTGAGTTGTGGAAGCAAGCATTTTTGTTGTGGGGGAATAGAGAAGAATTGGAAAAAATTTTAAATGGTGATATTCTGGTCCTTAGTTTGCCTCTTAAATGAATTGACAGGATTTTGAACTTGCATGGAAGCAGGGGTTCATTTGCCCAATATATGTAGTCTTTAACTTTCTTTCAAAACACATCAAATTCCATTTGTTATTGCTTTGTTCCATCCCCTGTGAACAAAATAATGGCCAAAATGCCACAGAAAATTTGATATATATATTGTATATAAGTGCATTGTAAACAGCATCTTCTTGCTTTCAAATCCTCAGGAAATTGGTTTAAAAACGCGGTCCACTGGCATTTAATTCAATGAAAGATGAGCATACACCTTCCATACACCTTGCGTGTGGTATTTAAGGCCAATTTCTCATTCCGATTCTTCGTTGACAACTATAATTAACAAGATTTTGTTGTTTCGCAAGCGCAAGAATCTTTTCTGCTGCTGGTAGTGGTTTCAGTTTCGAGACAATCATCTTCTTTTCCCTTGGTACTGCTTTCATCTCCCAGAGATTCGTTGATTTTGTCTCTGATGGTCATCATAACTTCTTTTGCCATTTCTGCAAACGAGTCCGTTATTCTTGCAGTTTCAGGAACAAATCATCTTCTTTTCCCTTGGTACTGCTTTCATCTCCCAGAGATTCGTTGATTTTGTCTCTGATGGTCATCATAACTTCTTTTGCCATTTCTGCAAACGAGTCCGTTATTCTTGAAGTTTCAGGAACATCTGTACAAAATAAATTTTCAGTATTTTTTCTTCAATTTCTGTTTGCTTTTTTCTTACCGGTTGAAACGACTGCAGTTGTGCCGGTAATCCCTTTAGTAGTGGCGCAATTGTCGGATTTTGTGGTTTCTGCGCTTCCAGTTGAAACCCGAAAAAGAATTTTCGTCGGCATTTTTGTGCTTGTCTTTTCCGTTGGTATTCTTTTCTTTGTAACATCTCGGTAAAGTTTTGAGTCGTCTTCGTTTAAAAATTCCGTCCCGTCGTGTAATGAATCTTCGTTCTCGTCGAAATCCTGTGGATGATCAATGCTGTCAATTTGAGCGTCATTCGGGACTTCTTCCTCAAAAGTCATCAATTCAATTTCTCCATTTTCATTGTTGAATATCCCTTTGAAAAGAATCAGCAGGCAGTTGAAAGATTCGGTTTATCGATTGCGTTCAAACTTTGTTTACCAGCATCAACAACAGAGGGTGAGAAAAGTGAAACCAACACACAAAAGTACAGCATTCGGGCTGGAAAAAATATTTCAGGTTAGAAGACACACAATTTACTTGATCGCACTGCTCTTCGTCAAAGTCTGAAGCATACTTCAGTTTCTCCTTGAACAATATTTATAAAGCATGGCCTTTGATGGAATTGGAAGCGCAAGGGGTGGTTTCAAAGTCAGGTTGATTTTTCAATGTGAAGGTGATGAATACTTAGGCCGGGTTTCCTAGTTTCAGCTCATCAAACTACTGCTGTGGAATATAAATTAAGTTCAATCATAGTTTACGTGTTGAGAAAGGTTTCTTTAATAAAGTTATAGATGAGTTCAACATGTAGACGTGGGAAAAGGTTTTTCTTAGTTCATGTTTTTAAATACTATCGACAATAAAAATAATGGTATGATTTATAAAATTTTTATGAGGGAAGGTAAGAAATTTATACTGTATTTACTGCAGTTGCACTTTTTGCTATTTATTTTCTTTTCTTTTAATATTCACATAAATATTGTTTCTCTGTTTTTCATTATGATTTGATGGAATGTGCTTGAATAAATGTGGGTAGGGAGGTGAAGGGGTTTGGATGTGGGAAGGTTTCTTGAACCTTGTGATTGCTGAAAAGCAGGAAATAAAGCTTGCTGTTTAGTTCAATAAATATAAGGTGAGCATCAAAATAGCTAATATACACATTGTTTCTGTGCAAATTCTTCAAATTTTTGATGAGGATCTCATTTCAGAAGAATTTGAGGAGGTAATTTTTAGAGACACGTTTGAGTAGAAATATATGCTTAAGCCAAAATCAAAGTCAGAGTTGAAGATTTCAAAATGAACACTCAAATAATCAAGCACAAATGTACTGTACTAGAGTTGAATCAGTCTTTATTCAAATTTTTGCATTTACTTTCAAAAGAAGTGGGATCTTTTCAAGTAAAAATATCAAGTTGAAAGTTTCAATAGTTTTGCATAAAACTGGATTTCACATTTTTCAACAGCCCAATTTTTCTGAAAATCAGCTTCATCTAAAAAATTAACTGATGGCAAATGGTACATGAGTAAATACAGTAATTGGCTGCTTCCACAGTCAGTATCAATGTACGTGCAGTATGTGATCCAAAATATTTTTATGAGCAGCATTCCCTGACTATTTTTCTCTCTATGTTTCCCAATGGGTCTTGTTCCTTTTCTTTTTCTTTTATTTTCAACGCATTCATAAAATGCGCCCATCTCGCGCTCCTGCCCCAAGGCCAGCAATCTGCATATTCTGCTGTCCTCTTGCGCTTATGTGTGTGTGTATCTATTATTATTTTTGGGTCAGCCAGTGAGTTGTGTAACCTGCTGGCTGCCCACTGCGTACCTCTAAATCTGATATGCTGCATTCTGTTCAGCAGCATTTGTGTCCAAACCTCCACCAACTGTATTTGTGTGTACTTGTTCAAAAACATTGTCACTGCCTCTCAAGCAAGATCTTGGCAGTTTCTTTATTTACACTACTAAAAATCCTTTTGGCCTGCAAAGGATGCAGAGAACAAATTTATATAAGACCAAGATCTACTGATGTATTATCTGAAGATTTGAGGTCAGTAGAAAAACTTCCTGTTAGACATAACAGTAAGATATACTGTATTTCAAAGACTCACCAACTCTTTTTTGTTCACCCAGCAAATTAGGATAACCAGTAAGTGAAACTTGATTCTCTGCATTGACAGTTTGTTGAACTTCAAACATGAACTCTCTCTAAATTTCAATCACAAAAAGAAGAACTTGAACCAGTGAGGAATTTTTAAAGAATGGATGGTTTCCATGTCTCAATGTATACAACAGGACCGCTGCTGTGAGAAAATCACCAAACTTGCACAACTTTTGGAGCAACTCCTGCACACACAGGAAATTAACCATGGAAGAACTCCGTCATCCTTGAGAAATTATATCCGGAATGATGAGACTTTGAAATAGAAATAAATGAAAAATCGCTGATCGAGGCTGGGAAAGCAACATATATACAGTACATATTTCTGCTGCGTTCCACTTCTTGAAGACAGGATGACTTTTTCTCGAAGAAGTGAATCATTTGATGAATGTTGAAGAATCAGATTAGCTTTAGATCAATGCAATTATACTGTCAGTTCTTCAAAAACTCTTGGACTCCTTGTTTGTGCTTATCTCATCGACGCAATCAGTATTCAAGCATCAATCTGATAATTTTCATTTGTATTACTCGATCTTGGTATTTCTTCATGAATTGTAAAAATTTATTTTTGTGACTTTGGAATTATAGCTATGTTATGAACTTCGGATGTATGCTTTATACGCCCAAAATGAGGCATTTGGTTTTTAAAACCTGATGTACAGCCGTACCCTCTGAACAGTTTAAATAAGGTTCAGCATAGCTTCTTATTCCTAATAAGAATCGAACGAACTTGGTTAAAGAGTGTACACTTTGTTATCCCAAATCGGCAAAAGAATAAAACTTCAGACACTTTCGTGTAGAAAGAAACGTCTCTCTTTCTTACGCGATTAATCTAAAACTTAGTTCCTTCCAAGATAACGT